TGATAGTTTCTGTGGCAACCTTATAATTTCTTTAAATTACATGCTTGACTTAATTCATAGTCATTCGTTTGGGAAGAATATTACATATGTATTGGTGTTAAATTCTATTATTATGCATATAAAAATATAATAAAAATAAGTATGGGATATAATAAAATAGAAACAGAAAAATCTCTTAAAAATGTGAATTTTTTTTTAGTTGTTTTTGGATTTCAAACATATTTTTTCTGTGGGAAGTTTTGTTAGAAAATGTAAGTGGTATAATCAACAAGCATATGATATTTATCAATTAATAAAACCAAGGAGTTTATAAATCATAAAATTTTGAGGACAGTTTCTCAACTATAATATGTAACTGTTTTATTTGTAATTACATTATTTCAAAAATATAAGAAAATGAGAAAGAATGTAATGTTTGAAGATCATATCAAACTAATAATGTATTTCAATATTAGTCTGTGTTACATTAATTTTTGTTTATTTCATATCCTTTTTTGCTGTCATACATATGTATATTTAAAATTTTTATTTAGTATCTTTATTTCTTGTTATCATATATGTTTGCAATCTTTAATAAAGAAAACAAAGCAAAACCAAAAATCATCATCTAGCCAGGTGTGGTGGTGCATGCCTGTAATCCCAGCACTTGGAAGGCTGAGGTAGGAGCATTGCTGTGAGTTCGAGACCAGCCTGAGCTCCATAGTGAGTTCCAGGTCAGTCTCAACTACATAGTGAGGCCCTGTCTCAAACCCCCCCCAATCATCATCTATACTTTGTTTTTAACATGCACTTCTTTTGTTTTCTTCTAGTCTTTCAAAAATGGGACACTGTAGTTTGTGATGTTACCAGACCTCTAATGTTCATTAGTGTTGCTTCCATTTCATATAAAGAAACGGAGAGCGTCAGGAGGCTGAGACAACCACTGAAGAAGGCCTGCAGAAAATGCTAAACTCATGAGGCTGGAAGCAGGATTTCCACGGGAGCTTTCCTTCCTAGACCTGCCTTTTACGTACAGCTGTGCAAGCCACTGTGGGGGTAAACCAGCAAGACCTGGGATGAAGGCTGAGGCACTGGAGTCTGCAGGTCACTTCCGGCGCCATCTTGGGGCTTGGTCCTGAGGCTCAGTTCTCCTTTGTGAAAACCGGGAACATCTGTAACACACTGCTATGATCACATCAGTACCATTTCCACTCTCACCAAATCCAGTACCCCTCTCTTTCCCCTTCCTTCTTCTCTAATTGCATCTGATCCTTGCGCACAGCCAGAGCCTCAGGCCACAGCCCTTGTTTACCGGTTCAGGTCTCATTCTGAGTCTTACCACTCTCTAGAGAGGTTGACAACACCTCCCTAGGGTTTTTAGAAAATCAAATTTACATGCTTGATAAAACTAACTGGGAGCTCTGACTGGCAATTTCTAACCGCGTGAAATTCTTTAAATTTCCAAGTGCTTAGATTCTATGACTATAAAAAAATTAAGTTTTCTGTGAAAATAATCAGATCAATTGTACAGCTGCAGTGGGAGGAATGTAGAGATAGGTGTGTAGCCCCGGAAGGATTTCTTCTACCGATGGGTTCTCAGTCCTTTGTAGGGTACCTCATTTCATTTTTGAGCAGTTCCAATTATTGGACAGTTCTGATCCTGCTCTACCTGTAACTTTTGGATTTTCTTCTGCAAAAAACACAAGTGGCATTTTGTTTGTCTGTTTGTTTGTTTTGGTACCAGGGATCAAACTTGGGACCTTGTGCTTGTGAGGCAGGCGTGGCACCACTGAGCTAAATCCCCAGCCCTGTTCCTTATTTCTTAGTGTGCATCACAGATATCAGCAAGTCACGACCCTGTAGAATTGCTATATATAAGAGTTTTGTACATGAATGTCAAATAAAAAATAATGAAGCTAATCCCACTGACGTTCAACAATCTGAAACCTTGTCTCATTTCTTACATTTAGTAGCGGTTGTGTGACTTGGAAAAATACAGTATTCTTAGTGATCTAAACCCTCTGTGAAAGGATTTAAAGTGAGTATGAGCATTAAAATTTCAGAATAAAAGATCCAATCAGCTGAGAAAGGGAATTCCATTTGATTTCACCTGTGCTATCCGAAATGTCCACTAAAGGCCTGTGTAATCCAGCCTGCACGCTCCTAGTAGGTAGTGGAACCCTTAGGGGGCGGAGCCTAGTGAGAGGAAGTGACGTCATCGTGCACATTTCCTTAAAGGAGCTATGGGGACCCTGGGCCCTCCTCTCTCCTTTCAATCCCAGCACCGTGAGGTGCAGAGGCTCCTCTGGCACACGTCCTGCCATGAACTGCCTCAGCACAGCCACAATGTGACAGAGCCAAGCAACCACGGGTGGAAACCTCGGAAAACCGCGAGACAAAGTAAGCCTTTCCTCCTTTTAAATTGTTTATCTCAGGTATTTTGTCACGGGAGTAGAAAGATGACTAACACATTCCGCAGTGGATTTGGACGCTCAGTATAGGATACCTGTATGAATACATCCATATTCATCATCTTCTTTTTAAAGAATAAGTGTTAAACACACTCCATGGAAGGCATGATTTGGAATCTTGCGCATACGTCCAGAAAACAAAAACGGATATGTCACTTGTGCCACCTGTTCTTTTGGTATCTATGGCGTTTTCATATTTGAAGAAGAAAAATGAAGTCTGTGCCAAAGCCTTAATAATAAAGTTGCTAATGTGGGAGAAATCTTAAGATGTCTATTTTGGACTTTCTCATTAACTTTGAAAGCAGCATTGAATTGATCTTGGACTTTTGCACCCTTCAGTTTTCTTCAGTCCTTCCCCCAGTGCTGTGGGCCTTTTTCTGGACCCCAGAAACAGCTGTCCTTTCAGACACTTGATCCTGGTTCCCTGACACACTTTCTGTCATTCCTTTGGGCAGTCCCGCTCGAGTAGAATGCACCATTCCACAAACGTGGGCCTTAGAGTGATGGAATATGCTGAACAGAGGGCTGTTCTGATTAAATGACATCTTACTGAGGTGGGTTTTAGGTGCCCCTCAAGCACCTGATCTTTACATATGGGTTTCCATAGGGTCTCCTCTCAGTCATTCTATGGTCAGTCATCACTGGTGAGATCTTGGACAATTCCTTGATATTGCCGCAGGTTTCGTGTCAGTAAAATAGGATGACAATCATATTTACAGCACAGGCTTTGATGAGACCTATATGAGCTGAGTTAGAACAACACAGACCCCAGTAAGTGTTACATATGTTCCCAGTGATTTTTTTATAGAGATGAGACTGTGACAATGTCTCAGTTTTTCATTGTATTTGCTGATCATGACTTTGAAAAGTCATAATTTAGTTATTTGTAACTTAATTTAATAGTCAAATTTACCCCTATTATGAGGAAGACCACTGCTTGGCTCATGGTAGCTGCCCAGAAAGAGTTCAGATTACATGGCTTCCAGGTCCGGTGTCTGTCTCCATGAATTCAGAGCTTCTGAGTCTTGTGGGGTGTGTGTGCATTCATGTGTGTGTGCGTGCATGCACACTCACTAACGTGTGACAGAGACGAATCCATCTGGTCTGGACTGCCTGTTCTTCTGTCATTACTTTACATAATGAAACCGTGTGATTTCTTTCATCGTGTGCAGCTGGTACCACCTGGGCTGCCTTTATTGGAGGCCGTGCTCAGAAGTGATGAAAGGCTTTGGCTCCTGCAAATGAGAATATTCCTCCAAATGAGCTGGGCGCTCACCACGGAGACAGGGCAGGGAAGAGCATGAATTTCGTTTCCTTTGTTTCACTAAGCCCTGGTATTATTTGTTGTATTACTTTTTGCTTGATTCTTTGTGTAGGGTCTTGAACAAGTTTTACAGTAGACTCTTCAGCAGTCTCGTCATGAAGCTGACCCTTCTTCATACCTTTACTTGAACACCTATACATATGAGATGTATATATCTGTGTGTGGGGGTGGGTGTGGGTTGTGTGTGTGTCTCGTGAGAGATAGCACACACACACATATCTCCGCATAATTATGACTCAATACACAAGGACTGAAAGAGATCAGCTATATTCTAAGGATATAAGGAAATACGGTAATATGGTACTTTTTGAAAAGCAGATTTTAACAAATTATCATAGGTCAGGCTTCCGATAGCTCTGGCTGTCATAGAGACACTGCCGACACTGGAAAATGTTAGTGGAGAGTGTTGTTTACCAGGAGATTTTTAGACCTATTTGCAAGTAAGGTCTGGGGCTCTCCCTAATTCTGATATAGGTAATTTCAAGGAAGAACATCTGTGTCCCCTTTCTTATACGAATCCTGACCAGGGTTGATACACACAGAAAGCAAATGATTCTGAGACATTCTGAGGTGTCTTACAGAGGCAGCATGGAGAATTTAGGAAGTAGGAAAAGTCTTCCATGCTTTCAGTCAAACTCCTTATCACAAATGTGATACCCCCCATCAAGTAGCCAGTGCCCTTATGGTGCCTTTTGCTGGCTAAGATCCTCCCTATGGCATCACACAGAGACCTGCCCTGGCCAGAATCAGTGCATATCCACGACATGCCGGTTCTCTACACTGCCTTTTTTTTTTTAGACAGGTTCTCACTATGTAGTTCAGGCTGACTTGGAACTCATTTTGTAGCCCATGTTGGCCTCAAACTCAAGGCATCCTCCTGCCTCAGCCTCGCAAGTGCTGGGATGACAGGCATGCGCCATTGTGCCCGGCTGTATCTCTCCCCTTTTATATTCCTTGGACTCCTTCAGTCGGGACCCTCTGCCCACTTGGGTAGTTAATTCACTAGTACTTGGTGGTGGAATGTCAGGCACTGTAGCAGGGTTAGGAAGGCAGGCAAGATGTTTGAAAACCTACAGTGCCACCCTGCTGTCCCCTGTCTCATTTGGCGCTCTCCTGACCCCAGAGCTGGCTACCTTTGGAGGCACAGAAGTCGAATCCCTGAGTGTATGATCTCTCTCTTCTTTGCATTCATTTCTTTATAGGTAAGAAAACAGATGTCTCTGGTCCTTAAGTAAATCTTTATTGTCCCTTCACTTATAAAGACTCATAATTTAGAGTCCGTAAGTCGTATTTGCTGAGGATGGAGGCTCTGTGCTGAAGACACGATAAACATGTTTCCCAAATCTTCTGCCTGTTGTAGAATCATGGAATCCATAGATTGCTTACTATAAATAAGCTTAGAGAAGAATTCAAACTGAAAAGAAAGAAAAAGAAAGAATGATAAAAGACTCCATGATGCTAACTTTTCTGTAAAATTCAAACTCTAGTTTTGGCATGTTCATTTCTTTGCTTTTACGAGACGGTAGCATGTAAGGTTTTTTTTTTGTTTTGGTTTTTTTTTTTGGTACCGGGGATTGAACTCGGGTCCTTGTGCTTGCAAGGCAGGCCACCGAACCACTGAGCTAAATCCCCGGCCCAGCATGTAAGTTTTAATGGAAGAATATCAGTGCTGGCTGGTGAATCTGAAGATCAGAGCTGGAGCCGGTTGCAGCGGCACATGTATGTAATTCCAGCTGCTTGAGAGACCGAGACAGGAGGGTGGCAAGTTTGAGGCCAGCTCAGGCAACTGGGAGAAAACCTGTCTCAAAACAAAACACTAAAAAGCGGGCCGAGGATGTAACTTGGAGCTCCTTGGGTTCAATCTCAAGTACAAAAAACAAAAAATCGGAGAGGGCTATTATTTTTACGATAAAATAGCAGTAAGAGCATTTTTCAAAACTGCTACTTAAGTGTGCTGTCTATAGTTACAAAGCCCCTGGATCTGTTGAAGTTTATCATGTGTACTGCATTTTGGGCCTTTATTCTTTCTTATCATGAACATTCTTGTTCCATTCCCTGAAGAATTCTAACTGTTCTAAGAAACTTTTGCATCATCCTAAACTTGCATCTGCTTGGCCTGATTGCCTTAGGAAAAAAAGTCCCACTCTTTTATATCATTTTGCATAGCAACATCCCAAACACAGCAAACACCATGATGCGTGGAAAGTACAGAGTCTGGGAGAAATACAGCCATGGAGGGACTGAGCATGTGTTCCCAGAAGCCGCATGAGGACTGTGGAGCTGCTCTCCCACGACAGCTGCGAGGGGCCCAGCCCTTTCATGGCTCTCATTCCCTAAACCTCTTCCTTAGCAATTCCTACAAACAAAGTTTTATTTTATTCTGAGATCAGGTGAAGAGGCGGGCAAATATCAGTGTTTATTGAAAGGGGGAAAATCCTTTCAAGATGATGTGTACTCCCAAAAGGATGGGCTGCATATTTTAGAAATATAGTAAGTATGCACTGTTCTGAAACAGTTGCCGGGGGAACAAAACTTCTCTCCCATTAAATGGAAGGATAATCACTGTAGTAAATTTCCGAAGAAATGTCTAAGCTGTACATGTTAGACATCAGCTGGGAGTCAAATCCAATTGATTGCATATTAAATACTCCTGCAAGTAGGCGGTTGTTAGATAACAGGAGGAAAGACGAAGTGCTTCCCTTCATGAGGTTTGCACAGCCAACACTCAAACTATGAGTTTACTAAGCAAGCTGTCAGAGAGGGCATTTTGATGCCCACTGCTCGTTGATCCAGCCCCAGCCCCCCAGGACAGCAGTCATGCCAGCTCTCAGCTGAAAACCCTGCTAAGCAGTATCAGAGGATTCTCACAGCCTGGTTCACACGGATTTGTTCTGAAGAAGGGAGCATATGTAACATAGCGCTGCAGAAGAGGAAACCACGATGCTGTGAGAAAGCAGCAGCATTAATAGGGCTGTAATTACGGAAGGCTTCCACGGAGAGCTGGCTTTGAGCCAGGATTTAAAAGAGGAGGAACATCTAGGAACAGCAGGATGCTTTGTTAGAAGAGCAGGCTCCTACTCTATCTCCCTTACGGACGCACATTTTTTGTATTTGAATACCTCAAATCAGTTACCTTATCGCTGATGTTATTCACACTCACTACCAATCAGGTGACAGCTATGAGGTAAGGGGACATTAGACGAACGCGGGCAGACACGGCCATCGTTATGTTAACTGAATTTTGTCCAGTTTTGGCTTTCATCTTGCAGTGAAAAGCTCTTATGTACACAGGCGTGGAAGCAGAGCAGAGTGGCGCAGTTTGGTATTGGCTGGAGGAAGTAGTTGTCATGGAGGACAGCAAATGAGCAGAATGCGGAAAAGGAGTCAGCAGTTTGGAGGAAAAGCTCAGAGACTCCGTTGGCGTACTTTTCTATGGCAAGTCACATCGCCAGGACTCCCGATGGTGCAGAAAATGTTACAATGTGGGAAACAGGGAAAAAAACTTCTGAGTAAAAAAGTGATAAAATATGAGCCCACAGTTAAATACATTTTAAGATTACTTTAACCGTAATCTTTTTATGTCGTGTAACAATATGTGAAAAAAGATTATCCTAAGTCAAAAAGATCTCTTTCAACAAATATAAAGTAAAAATACTAAAAGATAAGAAAACATCTTAACGTTTTTTAGAGTATTTGTTTTCCTTACTGGTAAGAAAACGATGTTTTACTCTGATGACGTTTTAGACTCACTGATACATACGTATGCAAAAAAGATGAATAAACAACGTGTGATCTCTGAGAACATATAATGGAAAAGAAGAATTTCAATATATTGCATGTAGTGGAGCAGAAATAAAACTCCGTAAGATCCCCCAAAATAGTAGTTGTCAATATAACTTTATAAGTAGTTTTCAGTTAAACAGTTCAATAATTTGCCCAGAACACTTGCATTTTAATATGATTCATTTTGCGGGGGAGGGTTTGAGACAGGGTCACGCTATATAGTTGAGTCTGACCTGGAACTCACTCTGTAGGCTGGTCTCAAACTCACAGTGATCCTCCTGCCTCAGCCTCCTGAGTGCTGGGATTACAGGCGTGTGCCACCACACCTGTCTTTTAAAAAGATTCTTAAAATCTCCGATAATTTGGCAGTAGTTTAAAAATTTATTTTAAGAAAATTAACCTTAATGCTCATATTGAGGATTGTAATAAAATGTGTGAAAACTCACTCTATAATTTGATTTTATGCATATGCAAATACCTGAGCTTAAGAAGAAAGGAAATTCATATGATGAATCCATGCTGTATAGAAAAGTTTGCTTATACTTCATGAGATAATGCTAGGAACATAAGACTGAATGATGGTACAATAATACATCTTTTGCAAAGGGGATCATTCTGATTAAACCAATGTACTTCGCTTATGTTTTATTTTTTGAGCGATTTTCCTTCTTTAACTTATAATGGTATAGAGGTCAATTGTCATTAAGTTGTTCGGCTAATGTTGAAATAAGTAGATATTTGAAGGCTTAGAATCTTGGCACATTTTTCATTTTGTTTTTTACGTAAAGTATATGGAGCAGACACAGTCTTCTAGGATTTAGTGGAGTATTTCAGTTCCTTACAGGGTGTGCCAAAGCAATTCTTTAAAAAAAAAGAGAGATTTGGGTGCAAGACCAGAGAAAACTGCAGTTCAGTGGTACAGTAAAGGTGGCGATCCAGACCCCAAAACTGTGACAGGGTTTGAGCCCTGTCTCGCCGACCTCACTGTTTATAACGTCTACACCATGAAGCACTGTGTTTGCCAGGACTGGACATCACCTCACGATGTGGGTGGCAGCTGCCTGTCATCTCCATAATTCTGAAGAAAAGCCAGGGAATTTGTTTCACAGAATTTGTCCAGATTAAACCACATGTGGCCTCCAGGGTGCACCGGGCCCAAAGCCTAGGCCTGCTGGCTGTGTAGAGCCATCACACTTATCCAGGAAAAATGGACTGTCTCCTCAAAGCCAATAAAGATAAAAGAATCTTTATTAGTCCAAAACAGCACAGCTCATGGGTGGGAATTGCACAAGATTAAAGTTTATCCTCTGTGTTGGCCTCAGAAAACCAGGGAATAGGAAGAAAGTAGACAGCTGCTAGATCCCTCTGTTTTTTGTTTTGCTGGCTTGAAAGGAACTTTGACTGTTTTTTTTTTTTTTGTACCAGGGATCAAACAGGTAGCAGAACCACTGAGCTAAATCCCTGGCCCTTGAAAGGAACTTTGAATTGGATGGTTAACTTTGTCTTATTAACTAGAGCACTTGATAGCAAATTCTAGTTATGCCCCCTGGGTGATAAAATAGCCACATCACTGAAACAAAATCCTGAGAAAGAGAAAGCTTGGTAGCATTTCTCTGTCTTCCAGAGACTGAAGTCCTCACAACAGGCATGGTACAAACAGACGTGTGGGTGATACAAAGACTGTTGGGTAGGCCAGAAAGCTGTTAACCTTGTTATTCTGCAATGAAACATTTAGTAAAGGTATTATTTGTGCTGTCATACAAGGGAAGCCACATCTTCTGCCCCTTCCAGGGAAACTGGTTGGAAAAACAGAATATTGTGGCAAGTTGACTGCTTCTTGTTTCTGTTAGCAAAATAACATGAAAGAGAAGAATTTAAGATGGACGTGAAGAAGGCAGGGTCTGTTGTGTATTAGAAAAGCTTTTCGCTGCATGTGGCCTTGATCTAAAGTTAATGAAACGTAACCTCCTCATACTGGAAAAGACAATGAAGAAAGAAAAAAGCACAAGGCACCGGAAGCAGTTGACTTAGTGACTCCCTACCCGACCCATGTACACATACACAAGGACGCTGAAAACAGATCGCAGATGCTTTTAAGGAATTCACGTAAGGAAAATCAACACAGTGTGGCCCAGGTGGGGTCGGGTCGCATATCCACGGCCTTTCTGCCATCCAGAGAAACGCGAACACCACGAAAGTGAAGGCTAATGACACCATTGGCCCTTCCCTCCGCCTCCCTCGCTTCCCTCCCCTTGCATATTTGAAAGTGTGTGGGTTTTTTTTATTTTGGTGCCTTTTAAAACAAGTTTTTCTGAAAAGGAACATGACAATGATAGCATGGATTGTCTCGGAAAAGGAGAACCTGGTGCAAGAGGTTAGGGGAAGGACGGATGCTTATTGTTATTGTTGTTGTTTTGGGGATGGAACGCTGACGGATACTTTTTGTCCCACAGATGTTTCCATATCAGTAGTGTCGTTTAAATAAGAGCCTGGCCTTGCTTCAAAGACCACACTGATTTAAGGCGCTTATAACAAAAATACCTATCACCTGTCCAGCATCATCTCCTATATAGGCAGCGTCCTTTAGAATAAGAGAATCTCCATTGAAAGACGATATCTGCACGTGCAATT